AATATTTTTTCTTTCTTTATTGCTGATTCGAGTTCATTTAATCTGATGTATCTTTCCGTAGTCTAATGTAATTGTTATCTTTAAGGAAACATTTGGAGGTCAATAGAGACTAGAAGTGTGACGTCACCTTACCATGGTAGCACTATTTCTGGTTGACAACAAAATCAACGACGACGCCAAAGGCAAGGAGATCGGCAAAAAAAATGATATGTTTATATTAACAAACAACAACTTTGCACGCACATCACGCTATTTTGTACATTTCTTTACCGTCGTTGCACCACTACGACATGAAACTTCCTAATTTCACGAGCCCGCTTTATGGAGTAGGTGAATGCAACACAAAAATTGTCCCTTTCATTTTCTAAACTTAGATAACGTTACATACGGTTCCAAAGAAAATTTCGCAAGATTTGCCAAATTAAATGAAATTGATTAAGATCGGTGAAGTTTGAAATAGTGCGAATAGATTTTTAAGTGACTTTTTCGGTTTGTTGCCATCCAAAAATTTTGCTGCCATGGAAACGTGACATAACGACTTCTCCTCTCTATCGCCCTTTCTTATTAGAGGTGCTTCGAACGGCGCAATCGCAAAAGCGCGCATGTTAACTCACGTGGTCGAAGTGCGTGTAATGGGCGATCCCCTCGGGTATTACAGTGGAACCCCGCCTTACGACCACCCCGTTTATAAGACCACCTCGTTATTACGGCCATGTTCTTTCAAACCAAACGTAACAACCATTGAGTTATTTTGAAGACCCCGTTAATGCGACCACCTCGTTATTACGACCAGGATTTTATGGCCCAACGGTGGTCGCATTAACGGGGTTCCACTGTAACACTACCACAATGCAAACGCAAGGACAAGGGCTTTGGACGAAGGTACCCCCCGAAAGTACGAAGCCTCTGAAATGTACAGGATTAATTAGCCTCCGAGCAAGCTTTCCTATTTGAGCGAGCGAGCCGGGTCTCTCCTCTCGCGTGCGTGCCCCTCGCGCGTCTACTTTTCACGATATCCCCTAAATGGCGAGCTTGCTCGCAGGCTAACACAGGATCGGATTGTTTTCTCTCTCCTGGGTATTACAATCGTCCCAAGAGAAATCGAAGACAATGGTTATGCCTAATTTTGGGGGGTAAACAAGGTGCTTTAAATGGTAAATAGATTGCGAGGCGATCTGCAAAGCCGCGAGGAACGAGGGCGGAAGCCCGCGTGAAGAAAAAAGATCGTTTTTTTTGCGCTCACCACGCGTGGCTCTTAGGAGAGAAGGACGACCGCTCGCGGTTTTTTTCTCGTAAAGGCTAATGAATTTATAGTGAAAATCTATGAGAAGATACCACAAAACAACTGCTGTTTAGTTAACATTGGCAAGGCCCTTTTTTTTGGCACTAATGAGATACCAATCTGTAGAACACAGTAAAGAACACTGTAAAAAAGACTGCTTTGTATTTTTTAATATTGATTTCTTTTTCTATTGTACTTCGACTTCTAACAAACCAACCACGACGACCAGTTTTAACGTGACGGTTTTTGGAAGACGTAAACAGACAAGGATGAATTTTCCTTTGTCTTTTTTAACCTGAATGCAATCTTTTTAACGAATTCAACTCGGGAAAAATCGCCCACACTTAACAAATTGAGCGGGTCTATTAAAAAAACGCGATTGTTAGAAAGATCGCGAATTGTTATTATTATTTTTTGGCGATGTCTCTCCCGCCGTCGCCACTGTTGCATCAGCTCCCTACTGCAAGGTTAGTCATCTTTGGGGACCCTTTTTCAAGTGCAGTTAACTATCTCTTAACGGACGCCTCTCGTGACAAGACGGACACTAGATGTTGGTTCCCTTACCAGCCAGTTTTAGCCGTCATGGGCTCCTGTTTTAAGTAACTTTATTGTCACTTAACTTTCTATAGGACAGACACGTCTCTAAGACACACAGTTGGGCCCCGTCAAGACGGTACCCGTTTTCGAGAGAGTTACCTGTGCAGAGAACCCTGCATTGAGCAGACACATAGAGTGCTTTGCTAGTGGCCAGAAGGTATTCACCAAGAACAGTTTCATTTGACTGAAAATTTAGGGAGAAAGTTTCGGACTATCGGACGCTTTTGTCCGCTAATTACTAGCCTGTACACAGACGTTGTTTTATTTTTCTTTTCGTTCTTTTCGAAAACATCGGCGAGCTCGGAGCGCCAGAAAGAAAAATAGCGCTGGCGGCCAATAAATCCGCTGCGGTTTATATTTTATCACCCGCGCGTTCGACGACCTTTGAAGAGAAAAAAGAGGGTTTGTGAACAGGCTAGCTAATTAGAGAATGTCAGCTAAATCAAGAGTCCAAGAACAGGAGCAATGGAACGGCGTTTTCACGGCCTGGTTTATTTTTGACACATTTCTGAGTCCTTTTGTACACATTCAGGTATGACAAAATAAAACCAAACTTTACTGAAACGTCAAAAATGCCATTTTCATGTCAGCAGGTTTTGCTTTGCCTGGTCCTTCGGCCTCCTTGATCCAAGAGGCCTATGCATTTCGGGTCACGTGGTCCGAGCGAGTTTGTGAGCGTCTCGGATACGTCAACGAAAGGTATTGAGTGAGAAGGCCTGCAAAGAGGCCGTACATGGACTAGGCTGACTAATTGGCTGACTATAGTCTAAAATTCCATACGTCTCTTCACCAGATCCCCGCAACGCCTTACCAATACCAGCCCGTTGTCGGGGGGAGGTGATGGGGGAAGGGACGGATGAAATTTCAGACTAGCAATGATTAGTGCACAGAGATTCAACTTGTCTTAAATACAGTGTTGATATTAGAATAAATAAGGGATTAACTATACAAACAAATTTCTGAACGATTATCTTTAATCTCATACCCAGATCTTTTTCTTTCTTACGCTGACCGTGGAAAATCTGGGTACGAGCTAAGTTCATCTTTTGTTGGCTGACCCATGTCAGCGAGGGCGCTTTTCCCCACCAGTGGCTCGAGATGCGTCGCGAACCTTTCTCATGGCCAGCTTCCGGTATCTCTCTAACTCCTACGAGAAGAAAACGGAGAGAAGGGTCATAAAATTGTCACAAATGATTTCCTGTTTACGGCTCTTCAGCCTGCGTCGCAGATGTAATTTAACCGCGGTTAGTAACGTCTGCAAAGCAGCGCTGATATCCATGTTCTGGGCCCATAACAGATTCAACGAATAACCAACAACAACAACAACAGTTTATTCAATGAATTATCAAATAATTTACGTCTATGTTATTTACACTTCAGGGGTCTGGTTCAAGGACGATTAATTTTGATCCAGGATTAAAATTTTGTTCCGTTTTTGTATTAGTCATTCCTATGCATTGCTTTATAGGGTAACATTTTGTGTTATCATTACTGTATCTCGTCGTTAAGCTTAAGGCTCAACAGTATTTTGTAACCCAGAGTTGCATGTTGTTAGACGAAAAAACCTTGCTTCAAATTTGGCTTAATCATGTGTCAGGGGCACCCAACGACAATTTTTGGAAAATATCTGTTCGGAAGACCATTTGACATCTAGAATTTTCGGAACATTTGTTGTAAAATTTCTTGCTTGCCTGCCTCTCCTAGGATTTTCGAACATCTAAAAAGTGGTATAATTGCCTATTTTTAGCGGATTTTTACCCTAAAAAGGTCACCTAGAATTTTCGGGAACCTTTTTTCTGGCTGGAATTTTCGAAAAGGTAAGTTTTGATCCCTATAATTTTCGGATCACTAGACTTTCAGCTAGGAAATCCGAACAGATGAAACATTTTTAGGGAATAAAAATATGCCTATATCTACAGTTTAAATACTAAAATACGTTTAACAATGCTATGTTTAAGTGGTTTTGAACGATATTCTGGTTTGGTGCCCCTGATGTGTTAAACTTAACCATCTTTCGAGGAACCGGGCCCAGACAGAAACAAAGCGAGAGACGCCTTAAGACATCAACTCCAGTGTAACAAATGTATAAGAGTTTTGTACCCAGTTTACCTCATCTTTCTGTTTCCTCATCGTGTCAACCGCTGGTTCAGCATACTGCGGATCCTTAGAAGGATCTTCACTCGTACTTCGCCCTTGGGATTTCTACGTCGATATAAAAGATAAAAACCAAGTTACGGAAACAAGCACAATTTTCCGGGACAATTTTATGGAAAATGAGAGCACTGCCAGCAGCGTGATCTGAGATTTTGACCAAGAAAATCTATTAACATACATAACGAGTTAAAAAATGGCAAAGTGTGGTGAGGTAGTTAAGGAAAACTTTGTATACTTGCTACTTGCCTGGGCGTTTATCAGAGGGTTTATATAAAGCTTTTGACTTTTCAGCGATGAGAGTGGTTATTTTATTAGTAGAAGCCCGCGTTGCAAAGCGTACAAATACATATACAGCCTATTATGGAGCTCAAGATTAAGAAACCAAAACATGAGAATCTGATTTTTTATTCTGAACTTGGATATTACTCCTACGTCTCCTACATTTGGCAAATTGGACGAGATGAAATAACAGCGACGAAGTTTGAAACTACGCGAATTGATTTTAGACACGTTGTCGCTGTTGTAGGCATCGTGTTTGCTTGCAGAGCCCCCTTATTTTCTGGTGCGCCTGCTACGCGGGTTATATAGCACGATCAGTATTTACCTCTGGTGGGTAAAACGTAGAGAAGGCTGCCTTCCACTGCTCATATGGATCCCTGAAATATATCATAGAACTTAGTTCGCAACAATCAGTTTGTTTTTAAGAAAAGCCGCCTCTGTGTTTTTCTCTTCCTAAGTTCATTGGTGGTTCGAAAGATGATTACCATAAATCCGGACCCGATGGATTAAAAAAATCATTTAAGTTTAAGCTGGTGAGGCCACAAGCAGCCAATTAAGTCAATGAGCGTCTGCCTTGGTGAAAAAAAGATTCTGCCTCTTCCATTTTGTCACAAGACCATTGCATTCCATTCTTGGACTCGTTCAAACACTTGTAACCGACTATTTCAGGCCTGGATTCTGGATTCTACGCAAGGATTCCGGATTACTGTAAACTGAATTCTTTGTAAGTACCTCGGATTCCACATTCCAGTCCTTAGTTGGATTCCGGGATTCTTTGAACTGTATTCCACATTCCACGGGCCAAACTTTCCCGGATTCCGGAATCTGGAATCCCTTACAAGGGGCGATCAGATGATTCGTCCTTGATTAAGAAGAGCCAAGGGTTACCCCCACACCCAAAGGTTTCCAGGGGCTAAAACTTGTTAATCCACGTTGCAAGAAAAACTATACACTGTCAGGAGCCCATAAGACACTGTCAAATAACAAGAAAAGCCTAAAAGAACACTTTACCAACCTGCTGTGCATTTTTCCCACATCCTGACTGGCCACTGGAGGAGAACCTGACAGGAGAAGGAAAAAAATCATGACTCACGAGCCCACAAACCGTTAGAGGCTCTTTTGTACGAAAACAAAAGAAACAAAGAATTTCTTGTCAGAGAATAGAAGTTGAAATAACAAACAATAAAGTTAAACTAAGAGTCTGCCGTCACGTCTCTCACCTATCTGCTGAAAGGAGTCCTGGCCAACTGGAACAATGATGGGTTTATTATGATCCACTGATACCACTTTGCTAAAAACAGAAAAAGAACGTCACTTGTTCGCTCTCGTCAAATATAGCGTAAACATCATGTATACCAAGCCTTCCCTCTCAAATAAGCCCCCTCTCCCCCCTCCCTCCTTATTCTCCACAACCAAATGAATAATTGATAGACCTTTTATCACGACTGTAACACTTCAATTGGAGTAATATGGTTTATTCAAGTACAGAATGTTCGGATTTGTTTTGATCTTCGGCTGGATGACCTCCAACTTCATGAATTGATACCATCTTCTGGCTGTTTGAAAAAGCAGTTAAGTGCCCCGTTTCGCTAAATTAAGTAAGCCCCTCGCCCCCGTCAAATGTGCTTGAAATAAATATCCCCCCGGGATTACTGTCAGAGTTTTTAGCTTCAACGGGTCAAGTCAAAAAGTGACAATATTTCTACCTGTATAAAACCTAAGTTTAATGATTCGGTATTAATAAGTATGGCTATACCAGACGCTTTTGAAATCACTGCTCTATACGCTTTCTCCTTGTTTCCTAGGGTGGAATGGCCAGAGCTATTTGCCTAGGCCAAAATGGGTAGTGACAGATAGCCTGCATAACAGGCCCTTTATGAGCCGAGCGAGGCAAACACGGCATTTCGCGCGAATCGCGAGGGGAGGAATCGTGATTCGCGCTCGTTTCGCGATTCGCGCGAAATGCCGTGCTCCCCTCGTTTGGCTCATAAGGCGCCAGTTATGCAGGCTAGTGACAGACTGCTATGAAAGGGGAAATAAAGCACTTACTTGAGAGGAGTATGGAATAAAAGAGAGCCAACCAGGCCTCGTGCGCGGTTTGTCAGACCTTCGGCTTTGGTGCTAAAGAACTACAAAGAAAAAAACTACCACTGTTAGTTCACTGTTTCGTTCCCATGCCCCTCTCATTTCTTTTGCGCGTTGCGCGTTGCGCGTTGCGCTCTGGGACGGATGCACCAAAACATCCATCCCACAATGCCCTGCCCTAGCCTTAATGATACGCGAGTCCGACAACGTTGCCAAGAAAATCTCGGTTGGAATAGAGTCCGAAAGTGTGACGTAATGAAAGATTATGTTGTGATATTATGGGGTTAGGCCTTTTCTATCTTGTTCTTTTAGAATTTCATGGCAAATCCCATAATTTCACAAACTTAAATTTTTATGATGTCATCACTTTAGAACTCTATTACACAGCTCAATAGCAATAGGTTTTAAAAGAAGCGATGTTGAAAACCTTGGAGATTAAAAACGTTTCAAAACTGGCGACATTACGTACTTTGAAAGAGCAGGAGAAATAAACTCACTGACCTGCAGATGGGCTCCATTGCTATGCGCTATAAAGCGCAGCGTTCTACTTATCATTTTACGTTTTTCTGGATCAAAATCCTGCAAGAAATATTGCTTATTAGCTACTTCGACAACCACATTAAAACAAAGGTGTTCCCTTGTCGGTTTTAAACAAACTGGAGTCTCTAATATTTTTGGCTCGAGTCGAAGGGTGGCAAAAGTTCCCATCACCCTGCGTTTAACCTATTTTAGCTTGGTTACTCAGTTTGCCTTTGAAATTTGCATAGACTGTCAAAAAGTCCTTCGTGCGATGTTCACAAAACTCTTGGAAGTTTATATAGAACTACTTGTGTTACTTCCTCTCTATCTACTTACACCTAGGTCAAAAGCTGTTGAATATACTGACCTGATAAATGTCGTATTTTCCGCCAACTATAGCAAGTGGAATTGGAAACAGGTCAATAGAGGATTTATCCTGAAAGATGCAGATTGACAAAAAAGCTTTACTTAAAATAAAAGCACTGAATACCAGTGAGATCCAGAGACACGGCTGTAGGTGGGAAGAACAATCGTAAAATTTTCAGCGAATCAAAGCTCACATGTCTTTCCTGCTTTTAGGAAAACCGCGGCAAGATTAGCTATGTCGGTAGAGCACTGGACTGTAGAACAGGGGTCGCATGTTCCATTCCCTGAAAATGGCTAGTCCTTCCCGTGGCGTGTCCAGAAGGAGACGTAAAAAAATAGTAATTCCAGTTGGTAATTTCGCGCTAAATACACTCAAATAAAGTGCTTTTTTTAGAATTGCGTGACTTATCCATGATCTACTTCTAGTTTTCCATAGCCTGCCCCTTCCCTCTCGCCACTTGAAACGTAGGCTATCGAAGTTTCCCAAGGCCTTAAAGGTTAAAACTTTAGGCAAAATGACAAATGTCTTGGAATGGGCGTTTACTGACGTTAAAATTCAAATGGCCATGAGTACTCTCAAAGTGAAACAGTCCGCTCATATCGGTGATTTTGTACCAGGCACCGTGACTTTTTATGAATGTCTAGGTCTGGGAAATGCTACTCAAACTGCTTATCCCTTGTTATTGCTAATCTTCCAACTTTCATTGGAAACACGTCGAAAACACACCTCACGTCCCTTTCCCATTGCATTCTCGATCTTCAGGGGCACCCAACTTTAATTTTCGGAAAATATGTGTTCAGAAGACGATTTGAGATCTAAAATTTTTGCAACATTTGTTGTAAAATTTCTTGCTTGCCGACCTCTCCTTGGATTTTCGAACATCTAAAAAATGGTATAATTGCCCATTTTTAACGGATTTTTACCCTAAAAAGGTCACCTAGAATTTTCGGGAACCTTTTTTCTGGCTGAAATTTTTGTTTTGATCCCTATAATTTTCGGATAACTAGACTTTCAGCTAGGAAATCCTAACAGATGAAAAATTTCTAGGGCGGGATAAAAATATGTCTATATCTACCGTTTAAATACTAAAATACATTTAACAATGCTATGTTTAAGTGGTTTTGAACTATATTCTCGTTGGGTGCCCCTAAATCTTCATCCTTCTCTATTACCATCCACCTTTTCCTCCGCAGTTAGGGACCAAAAATTCAAATCAGTATTCTTACAGGGTGTTCTTCTCCGAATTTCTTCCAAGCTTGTTTCTTGAGATGTTGCACAGAACTGTAAAAGAGGACAAGACCACACAAAAGTCAGAACATGATGTATGCCTGTACAATGCATTTAAACTCAACTAAACTCACCCCACTCGCTTAAAATAAGTACAGACTATACAACTTAAAACACTGGATATCTGTGAATAATTTTCAACGTTTTTTTTTTTTCACAACTTTTGGGGTGCTGCAGTTATATGACAAATCTGTCGATAAGGCCGGAAAGATCGCCTGAAAATCAAAGTTGTCTTGTTTGAGATTTATTTGTTGAAAGCTAACGAAGGGATAGCTTCCCAAACACGCAGAATTTTATAGATGTTTGCATGGTTGGGCGGCGAAGTTGGCATTGGAGCAAGAAAACGTCATCAAAATTATATATTCCACGGAAAAACAAACTAATAAATAAAGAAATAAAACGATCTAAAGGCCAAGTTTTCACAAACAAATACAACTGGATAGCTTCTAGACCGGCATCTCTGGAAATCCTGTAAGGCATCAAGCAAAATTGCAAGATTTTTTGTGCATCATCTCAATTCACACTATTGTACCTTGGATCTTTCTTTCCCAATTCCTCCAGTGCTCGCCCGACCTTTGATTTAACCTGAAAGAGACATTCAACCGCATAGTGTAATCAACTTGAAAATCCTACTTGTTCACAGACATCCCTTCCCCTTACATTCACCAAAAATATCTTGCTGTATAGAAGCCAGACAATAATTTTGTAAGACAATTAGGACAATTAGGAGAGAAGAAACATACATTATGGTATATTCTTCTTGTGTTTTAAGCCTTTAATGAACTCCATATGTGGTAACTGAACTGATAGTCTTTTCTGAACTGTACACGCAAAACACAAAAAAACCCTTTATGTGAAAGTCTCAGTCTGGCTCTTTGCGCACTGAAAACTGACTCTGAGAAAAAAACTGACTGTTTTCAAAGTTCTCTAAGACTGCACCCACGGGTTTAAGCATTATAGTGACAATCTCACTGTAATTTACTTGGTGAAACATAGTTATAACTGTACTACCAATAAACCCAAAATTTACCCAAAATTTAATCAATTTATCCAAACCTAAAGGAAACTTTATTCCATTAACTTAAAATCATTTGTTTTCAGGTGAAAGATAACATAAAATGTTGCCAATTTTATTATTAACCCCTGTAAACCATAATTGTGTCTAAAAGCCCTGGCCAGCCCTGACTACACTTATCTACAAATTATTTCTCTACCGAGAACCTAAAAACTCACTTGAGACAACAGTGTTTCCAGAGTATGAAGCAGTTCATTTGGAAGAGATAAGTCCACAACAATTGCTATTGCCATGTTTCTGTAGGGGAGTACAGTAAGTTAGAGGCACTTCTACAAAAATCGGCAATTCCGTGGGACTTTGCTACAAATAACAGTTGGGTTACTTTTCTTAATGTTAATTTTATTTATTTTAAAGTAGTAACCAGGCCACAATCATTATTATATCGAGTTACCTGATTGTTACAGATGTAATAGGAATTTCAATCAGTTTAGACAGGAATGTTCCACCACCAAGTTCCCATATGTGACCTATGTCTTTTCCCTGTTAACAAATCAAATTTATATCATTTAAAACCACACTCCAGAGCATAAAAATTGTGGCAAACTAAATACAGGCCCAAATGTGCCTACATTTAAACCACTGACGACCAAATGGAAAAAAAAGTCATGAAATTTGTGACTAAAATAATTCTTTAATCACACCTACATGTAACTGTATGGAGCCCTGTTTGAAAATGTGTAAGTTAAAATAACTAATTTTAAAATTGTGTGGCAGTGATAAACATCCAATAATCTTAACTTGTTGTGGCATAACTCATGTGTCTCAGGAAGAGTACTTGTTATGCCATCTTAAATACACTGTGTAAGACCCCTTCTTGTGTGTCCACCCTAAATAATAGTTTACTTCAATTATGAGACAGATTGAATGTTACTGTATGCTTTGTGGAAGGACCATTAATTAGTTCAGAATATTAACATTATTCTGCAGGTTATAGTTCCTCAAAGAAATGAAAACAAAAGACAGAGCAAAGTCATTTCCAATATCTTACAACAAACTGGTACCTAACTTTCCTTGGCAATGAATCACTTTGAAATAATACAATAAAGAGCTAAGTGGTTGCTGAAAGAGAAAAAGTTAATTACGTGCCCTCCATTCAACAAACCTAAACTAGCTGGTTCACTTGATAACTGGAATGTTTTTCTTCTAAGGCAACTTACAATATTGTGCCCAGTTTTAGCTCTTCGTCCAAATGTGTAATCCAGTGCAGTAGTTGGTTTAGGAGCTTCATCTCTACAAGGTAGATATGGGCAAAAAAAATTCATTAATAATTATTATTATGGAAATTTCATGTTGTTATATGCCCATTCATCCTCCAAATGGTCACTTCACTTCAAGCCAAGACTAAAACCTTTCCCTGGTGGCCTAAAGTGCAAAGTGCACTTTTCAGGGTCCCAGGACTCCCCCAGTGAAAGGGGGAAGACCCACTCCCAATACCTACCCAATTATGGCAGTCTGTACCTTTTTATTAAATTTTAATCTATTGCCCTTTACTTATTTTTCCCTTCCACTTTCAATTTTCTGGAGAATCCTGAGTCATGGAAATATTTTTGACGTAAGGTAGGCCAAGTTTGGTGTATTTGTCAGTAAACCTTGCTCATACCTCTGCCATCTGGCATTTACAATTTTGTTAGTTGGCAGTAAATGAGAGCACTGATAAGTTCAGTAACTCATAAGAAACAAAATGCCCAGGCTACTCACCTATCAAGAAATCTCAAAATCAAGGATGTCTTTCCCTACAAATTAAAATTGAAAGTAAAGGTCAAAAAGGAGTTGAATCTGTTGTGCAATGACACAGAATTCACCGACGACATTGAGTTTATTTTTGAAGGAAAAACTCACAGAATTTTTACTTCCAAGGACAAATATACTGGATTCATCACTGCTGGATAATGGCGTATCATCTTGCTGATCTAAATTAGAGCAATCGTAATCCAGCTCAAAACAAATACATTGACAGTCAATAATTATTTACCTATCTGATGCTAAAAATGTTTAACTTTGTGCAAGAACAATAAATTACTGAGGTTACATTGAACAAGATTCCTTAACTCACACCACAATGTCAGTAATACTACTTTTCTTTTTTTATCATTTATGTAATTTACTTAATTATAGTCCTCTTTACCTCAATTTACTCTTCCTACAGAGTTCAAAAGATATTCTTCCTTGACACAAGGCTACCAGATTGCATCCTTTGAATGTAAACCCTTGTAGATTCAAATTAATGTTTACCTTGGTTGGGGTGATTTTCTGTTCTGTCTCTCTCTTCTACTGCCAGGTCCCAAATGGTCTTCTCTGACCTTTTTACATCAAAAGGAGGACAAACAAGTTTTAAAATAGTTTCACTATTAACATGATGCCTTTATCAAATCCAGGGTAGTCACAGGGTGTGACAAAAGTGCTCTCTGATAGCACAGAGGCTAGTGGAGCAACCTGTGAAGTTTGCATGTTGTCTAATGGGTACGCAATATTTGCTGAAATACAGTAAAATGTCAGAGGAAAAGGGGGTTGGTAGACCTGTGCAATTGCTGAGAGTATGTTAACTTCAGCAACAGTTTGTTCGAATGGAAAGCAATTTCAAATGTTTAATTTTCATCTGGCCTAGTGGTCAAGGTTGCCATGTTAATATGGGCTTTTATATAATATGTACAATAAAAAACAGGAAAAAAGAAAAATGTAAACAAGGATTTCTCTAAAAAGGAGCATTGGTGATAAAGAAGAAGTAAAGATACTGAAAGAAATTTATCAAAAATCAAAACAAGATCGCAGGAAGACAGACAATAGGAATGCACGGATTCTGTCCCACTAGAAATAGGTGTCAAATCTGGGTAGAAAACGTCTTGCTACAGTCTCACACATAAATAGTTAAGACACTTCCACTGAATGTTTTTTGTTGACCGCGTCTGGGCTGTCTCTTAGTCCTCTCAATGTTGTTATCACAGTTAACTTATCAAATCTTCTGCACCAACAAAGGGAGGGTACAAAGACACTGAAGTGTCCAACAACTTCGTACAGTCTGTTTTAATTTGTATAAGACTGTAGATAAAAACTACCAACACTAAAAAAAACCTCTCAATTTCTTGAATATACGTGATCGTGACAAAAAAAGGCATTGGGGGGGAGGGGGAGAGAAGGGGATGATACAATTTCCAAGGGTGAGGAATCACTATAGATGTCAAATCCCCCCCCTGCCCCTTCGGCTCCCCACCCTCCTATCCTTGGACTCAGCATAAGTCATACGGCTTAAACGTGGTCTTTAGCTACCTAAATTATACGAATATTAGGTCTTACTGAAATATTAGGATAATTGTAAATTATCCAACTGCAATCGATGTTTCCACAGCAACGTAGACTAAGACACCATATTCGGTCAGATCATGCTATTTACCTCATTGGTTTTTTACCAGTATGAACTTAAATTTGCTACAAAAATGTTCTTTACCTCTTTTCGCTCATGCTCAAGTTACCACGTCCGACTAAGGGAAGAATCAATCACATCATGAAGGTTATTTTCTTGACACACTTCTCAACACATTTATGCTTGGCAAAATTTCTGAGCCGCCGTTACCTCCTCAGCAGTCTTACAAAACATTGGTACCAGTTTCTTTGGAGCGAAAAATGGAACGCCTGACGGAAATTACTCATGGCCGCCTCGGAAGTCTTAGACGAGATTTTGGCCTTAAAGTCCATCTTTTGTAATCCTGGGGAATTTTATTTGATAAATCCGTCCTCGTTAGAAGATATTGAAGAACCTCAAGGACCGATTTCTTTCAAGATTGCTGTAAAATGCGACCCACAGCAAGATCTGACCAGCGTCGCGAACTCTTCGGAAAACGATATTGCCACGTCCAGTTTTACTGTAGAAATGACTGTTTCATTACAGCCAGATTATCCTGGAACGTTACCTGATATATCACTTTCATGCATGGGAATGTTTAAGAAAAGTTTATCATCTCTAAAAAGTAATTTAATCAAGTATGCGACGAGTCTTCTCACAACTGGTTCAGAAGCAATTATCATGGATTTGACAATCTGGCTGCAAGAAAATGCAAGGTCATTTTTAGACAAAGTGGAATTAAGCAGTGAAAGAAAACTGCCTATCGAGAGTAAGTTCATTCTTTTACTTAAGCTGGACCACATGAGGAATAAAAGCCGATATATCAGAACAATCGCTCGTTGGGTGGACGAGCTAAAGTTGTCTGGAAGAATATTCTTTGCTGGCTATTTGATATTTCTTTTGTTAACGGGGGCGGCCGAGAGCGTCAAGGAATACTTGCGAAGACACAAAACTTGCAGTGTGGACGTTGATTCATCGGGAAAGCCGTGTAAGGAAAAAATGATGAATATTCTGATGCATGAACAAGATTTAATTAATTTAAGGTATGCAATCAACAAAGATATTTCAAGGTTGGAACACACAAGGCGACAAGTTGCAGCAACACTTTGCGGTGACAGATCACTCCTTGAGTACAAGGTCGTTGCAGCAACACGTTGCGACGACATGTCACATTGACAAATTGCTTTGCGTGTACCAGAGAATTTTAACGAAAATCTTTGTCTCCACAAGTGAATTTTATCACTGCAACAAGTTGCACAAAACCAAATTAGTTTGAATTTGTGCGACTTGTAGCGGTAATCAAATTCTGTTGGAGACCAAGATTTTCACAAAAGTTCTCCAGTACACACAAAGTGATTGGTTGTTGTGTTGTGTCACTATGACATGTTGCTGCAACTTGTAGCCTAGTGTGTTCTGACCTTTATGTCTCTTTTCTATGCAGTGCTGTACACCCCTACCCCGTTTTCCAACTTCAGTGTTGAACAAGTTTTCTTTTTTCAATGCCACAAAATTCAGGGAAAATCCTGGTTTTTTAGCAAAGTCAGGGAAACATCAGGAAATTTTGTCTCTTGAAAAATATGCAAAAAGAAACCAATTCATGTGGAAAACATTCTGTAATAAATATTAGTCAATTTTGATACAGCTACAAATCCTGAGGGTTAACATTAATTAACCAAGAAATTATATTAATGGCCTGTAAATGGGGAAAAAACAACGAAGAGAAATTCTGGCAGTGTAACTACTGTATAACGAGTAATCGAACGTTGGTCACCCCAAGGAGAAGACGGGTTAAAGAAGCTGAAGAAATCTGAAGTGTAAAGTTCATTGAACATCAGCATTTGGGCATACAGAATTCACTTCGATGCTTTGCTTGAGTGATCACCAAACAATAGCAAGTCCCAGTGCAAAATTTCCAATGCCCAAATTGTAACAGCTATAACAATAACATTCTTCTTTCTTTTTCAGCATTTGTGACTTTTGTGAAGTTGAGTGTAAATCTCCGTCAGAGCTTGAGGTCAAATTCGCAGAGATGGAACTTGAACATTTATTCAAAGAACATATACAGCCACTGCTATAGCAAGAAACTAGGTGACTGATCGAGAACCAATAAGGAGCAAGAAACAGTCAGAAATATCGATGCTTATTATCTATAAATGCATCATTATGTAACACTTTCATTTCTAAAATTCTGAGAAGAATTGAGTCAACTGATGCAGTAAGCATTGGTGATACCATGTTTTTCTAAGAACTTTAAAAAAAAAATTTAAAATAATTTATCAGTCCTTTTAATAGCATTGTTTTATTATCACATTTATAAGAAAAAATATAAATATATTATATTAAAAATACAGTCGCTGTTTATTAACATCAAAAATAAAATACATGCAGTTGTTTGTAATTAGGGCAATATGCAACACCCGTGAAGGGGAGTAAAAAACATAATACCTTACTAACAAATATATTTTTAGCCACTGAGAAATGTCTCTCATTTGACTGATCAAGAATGCATGGCAAAAAGCTGTGTTGAAAAAATATTGAAGAAAACCAGGAAATGTATTGCTCTCAAAACCACCCATGTACAAAATTTAGAGTTATAAAGCACCAATGAATCTGATTAAAGGTAATAATATTGTTTTACCATTCACAACAAGTGATTGTTAATGACCACCTTTATCCAAAAGGCTTTAGGATTGCTTGTGTTTGTTTTCAGGTCTGATAGCTTGTGCACATTTTTTGTTAAAATTCTTGTAACCTGATTGGTTGGTCAAATAAAATGGCAGGGTTTTCATAAATTATAAAAAAGATGTGTGGGCATTAAAAAGAACAAAAAGGATTACAATAAAAAATGACTTGCAGATGTTTTGGAAATTAAACCTTGATTCTAAGTATTAATGAATTAACAGTTTTATCAATACAGAAACTAATGAATCAGCAATCAGATGCATCACTCCATACAGACAACTTGCACAAAATGGCCAGCAATTTTTTCCCATTCCACTCAAAAGCTCATGTCCTATGATACAGTTGAACAATAGTTAATGTGATAATTCCTTCAGTAAGTCGTCAGAGTCTAAGGAACTGAGTGATGAACTTGAGATGCTTCCTACTCCATTTCCAGACACTCCTACAAAATAATCACAGTTTTCTCTTATGATATGTAATAGCCCACTCTTGATGTTCTTAAAATTCTAACATGACTGCGCAGGATGCTTTCTGGTCATTTTTCTTTACTTGGTGTGGTTTTCTTTGTGCTCAAGTCTATACTGTGAATTGCAAGACAATGGAGTCTAGAAAAATTTGCAATTTTGTCCCTAAGGTCTTGAAGTCAAGATAGAATTTTAATATATGTTTTATTTCAATATTTTGAAAAGTTCAGAATATTGAAAAAATAAAACCGAGTCAAGAATGCTTGAATCGCAAAATATATATTGCCCTTTTTCCTATTTGGTTATTGAAATCACGAAAATAAAACCCCGCGAAATACTATCTTAAGTACCAATAAGATATCAGTCAATTTTACCTCTGTGAGACCTGTCAAGCTTCAATGATGTAAGGTCTGAGTCACTAGGACTACTAACATCCAGTGTTGTCAAACTCAGATCATTATCACTACTGCTTGACAGGACAAGATCATCCACTGCTGCCTTGGATTTATGTTTAGTTCCTTTCCGTTTTGATTTTGCATCACCATTCATAAATCTTGCTTGTGTTGAAGCACGCAGTTGGGACTGCCTCACAGATGAATTATTACCTGTTGAAAATTTATAAAGTAATATGACCATCTTCTTTCCACACACAGTCATAATAGTTAATGAAGTGTGTATGGAAAATAACTGGAACACACAAATAAATTGGTTACTGAATACACTTTTCAGAGATGACTCCAAGCAAGATTAAGGATAAATCTATCACTGAAAGTAAATTTAAAATATAACCTCTTTGGGGTAATTTTCAGGAAAATTCAAACTTAATATATTCTCACAAAAACTGTGGCTGATGTGCTATTGCATTCAGATATTCATGCTGAAAAAGTATTGTCTTCACTTACTTGAAACTCCTGAATTTCTGACGCTGGACTGAAACTCAGATTCCAGATCAGAAAACTGTCGTCTAACTTGGTTTACGAGATGCCTGAAAGTAAAACACAGCACAGTGACAGGTTTTTTCAGAACAAAACTCCTCATATTTCCATGGTAAAAATGAGCACATACTATTATATACTTGCCAATTCTCACGCATTATGCATGAGTCTCACGCCTGTGGACTAAATACATCGATCTTATGCATCAGGGACAATTTGTCTGACCCACAAATCCGGACAAATTGTTCTTGACCACATGATGACTTTGTGTCCTTTTTTGTGTTCTAACGAAATCAAAGTACGCTAAAATCAACGTCATCTTTTTAGTAGCTTTGGAAGTGCTCAAACATCTTTGGAGCATCTGTGAACATTCAATTTCCGGCAACGTTCAGAAGTCTTCAGAAATTCATTGGAAATCTTCGGAAGTCGCCTGGACGCTTCCGGAAATCTTGGACATGACAAGGTAAAAATCTCACGCATTTGACTCACAAAAAGTTGGCAGGTACATTATTAACACTATTTCATAACAAAAAAAAAGTACAGGTTTCTCACACTAAGAAAGGAATATGGCTATTAAACTTACTTAAGTTGCCGTATTTCATATGAATCTGATTGCTTCTCATCAACTATACTGCTTAAGCTTCTTGACTGTGAGCGCTGATTCTCCGAAAGTGATGACAGAACCTGTGAAAGGATGCCAACAAACAAGCTACATTATTTTATCACATGTATTGGGCGATTCCAGAAAATATCCATACCATACCACGGACGGCTTTAAGGATTTCCGAAGGGGAGGGGGGATTCACGATTATGGAATTCTGAAGGCATGGGGGGGTATTTACGATTTGAAATCCGAAGGTATGGGGGAATTCCACAGGTGGGATTTCTGGAGTAGAAAGTGTAGAGTAAGTTCCTGGAAAACGCTATTGTTGTGGACTTTTGTAGTTCGTAAATAAACCACGAACGTATGACCGTGGAAGCAGAAGACAAGCATCGATAGATCAGACACGTGTTTACGCTCATAACTTATAGAAGTGAACAGTAAAACGTCGGTTTCACATTTACCTTGATGAATTTCTTGTCACGTGAATAAAAACTGAAAATGTATCTTTTAATACCGCTTGCAAATTTCTTGTTACTCCCGTCCGATAAAACACCGCGGCGAAACGTCGACGCATGCGCCAGATTGAGCATTTCCGGTCTCATTTTCAGTCACACTTTCCAGTCGAAGTCTCCCGCGCGCTTCATTCTGTGTGCAGCTTGTGGTTCAGTTGTTCTGCTTTATGCTGCTCGTGTTTTTGACTATTTTGTAGTTATTGAAATTACTTTTATGGATAACCAGGCACAGATCACTGAAACAATTAGTCGATTAGATTCAGAAAAGGTAAGATGATAATAACTCAGTGTGTAATTTTCGCTAGAGCTTCAGGTAAACTGATTTTCATTCACGAAAATAAAGTTTTTGATTGTTATTTTTCACTTAACCTGGCTGAAACTAAGACAAAATTAAAACGTTATCATTGCAAGCTTGTGTATTGTAGTTCTAATTTTTAGTTCTTCAGTTTCTCAGTCTACATGTGTTAAAGCCGATTCAAACTTTATTTGGAAAACGACAACACACAATCGCTTTGTAGTTTTGTTTACCAGAGGGTTTTACCGTGTTTTAAAACGAAACTCTTCTGGGTTGATTGCCATGAAACATAAGCTTGATTATACTGTTGAGCCGGTTGGCAGCAAGTTGACAACTCTATTTATTTATTTTTCCATTCTCAGAATCAGAGAGCGAAAGCTGGTTTAGTGGCTTTTAGAAGTCGAACTTTTCATGCCATGTATTTAGCAGCTAGAAGTTTCGTGTTTGCATGAGATGCAGCCGAGCCGCACAGTCTGAAATTATTGAAGTCTTCAACAAAAGAACAACCATGTAAAAGAATTAAATAGGCATTTTCTTGAATGAAAGTCATTTATAGGCATGTTTAGTTTCCCGGTGACTGCAGTCATCAAAGTCAAAGTTGTTATTAAATCCCGCCCATCTTTTGTTTTGAGTTCTTGTTTTCTCTGATAATAAAACAAATTATTGAACGGACTAAAATTTTATTTCCTGGTTTTAGTGTTTTTTATGATAATGATGACGTCTTTATTTTGGTTTCTTTCATAAGTATTGTTATTCTTTTCTTAGTTGTCGCCTTCTCCCAAATTAACTTATGCCAAACCAGTAGCATGCAAGAAAGCCAGTAAAAACAAATTCGTCTTGTCGAGCGCTCGCGACCTGCAAACTTCAAACATCATTTTCACCGTTGGTGCAAACAGATAACCATGTGGTGCAAAAGTTTGAGAATAGAAAAATATATAAGCTTTCGAATGAAGTGATTTTTTTGGCCCCCTTTTTTGTCTGTTTCGCCCTTTTTGGTTTTAAACTTGTCGCGACGGCAAAGTTATGCTTACTCTATTGGTTTATATACTAGACCGGAAATAAAAACCTGACCGGATATTAAATTTTGTGCTCATGCGCATTGCTTTTTGCCGCGGTGTTGTCCGATAAACAGTGAAAAACTCACACCAGTCCCTCAATTCCAAGGAACGCCTGTCAGATTAGAACGCTTTTCGTGCGCACTACATGACGTATAAAAGGACGCAACACAACTCGACGGTATATTTGACCGCCAAAAGATTTTAACAGTCTGTTTGAGCTATTTTCCTTTGTAAACGTCAAAACAGCACAAGAAAACAAAGAGGAGTAAAATTACCTTAAGTGGTGTTTAGTTTTATAGCCAAATTCGGACTTAAAAAGGAGTTTGCACGGCCTGGCAACTAGCGTAGGTTTTTCTTGTCACTGAAGAGTAAAGCTTGTCACCTGGCGTCGCTAGATCACAGCCTTGAGGAGGCATAAATTCATGTTCGTTTGTTCTTATTGGCTTTGCTAAGTCGAAAATGTACTTCCAAAAAAAAAACGGAAATTCTGAAGGGGAGGGGGGGTTCATGACTACGGAATTCTGAGGGCATGGGGGGGTAGCGCATTTTGGAATTTCCGAAGGCAAGGGGGGGTTAAAACATGGAAGCCGTCCGTGGTTGGGTATGGATATTTTCTGGAATTGCCCATTAAGACAGAATCCATAAGGAAATTGACAAATTTTAATTTTCAGTGGATAAAAACCTTGTACCAGAATAATTTAAAGAATATTGAACTCTTTTTTACATTTTTAACGGGCTAAAGATGCAATAAATTATCTGTAATAAGATGTAATTTTGTGAAATTTGACATTCATTTTCTCAGGCTCCCATAACAAATTTTTTTTGGTGTTATTACAGATGATTTATTACATCTTTATAGCCCTTGAAAAATGTAAGAAATTTTGCAATATGCTTTAAATTATTCTCACTGGTACAAGATTTTTGTCCACTGAAAATCAAAATTACTCAATTTCCTGGTGGATTCCGTCTTAAAACTCACTCATCAAAAATTTAATGAAAAAGTTATATTATAGTATCATACTGATGTCATTATTATTTAGAAGTTTAAGTAAAAAGCTCTTACTCTGTCCAGCCTTTCCTGTTTACGAAGTACATCTCTTGAGTCGCTAAGTGAGGAGTGGAGCTCAATTTCCAGCTTTCCTACATTTCATTTATTTAAAAATAATATGCGTTTAATTCAAATACTCAGAATACATTATACTAATTAGGATCAGGTCTATTGGCTTGAAAATATCTATGTTCTACTTGCTGACATTAGTACGTTAGTTTTTACTGTTGCACCAGTTGAGTGGGTAGAAATACAAGTGGCGCTGACTGATTACCAAAATGAATCAGATTTCAAGACTGACTGACTGACTGACTAATCTGATTGAATGACTGACTAAATGACTGACTGACTAACCTGACTGACTGACTGACTGACTGATTGACTGACTGATTGACTGACTAACCTGACTGACTGACTGACTGACTGACTGACTGACTGACTGACTGACTGACTGACGGATTGACTGACGCAGCCAGCTGCTGGCTGTAAGCCTGGCTGGTTAACTACATACAAGTCTATACTTTGCAACTGACTGACTGACTGAAATAACTGACTGACCAACTGACAAACTGGCCTGACTTTTCACCTTACCAACCTAACCAAATGGCCTGGGTTGTTCAAACATTGGATAGTGCTATCCATCAGACAAATCACTATTTAGTGGATAAGTATTAGGGAAACCAATTGCACAATCCACGGGACAGCAATTTATCCGCTGTGGATCGCTCTATCCACCTTTTGAATGACTGGGACCTAAACAGCTGATTGCAGACTGACTACCCCGGTAACTAAAATTTGTAACAGAGGATCTACTAAAATAATGTCTGATTGACTGCTGGCTGGCTGACTCAGTTTTTTGACTGACTAACATAAACAACTGACAGTCTAATGACAGACTACTGCAACACACTGACCAGTATCTTATAACTGACTGATTTCGTAACTTACTGCCTGAGTTCATTAGGTGATTCACTGTCTGACTGACTGACTGACAGACACACTAATTTGTCTGAGTTCACTGAGTGACTGACTATTTAATTGACTGACTGAAAGACACACTAAATCGCTCACTTACTTTTAATTCAATGACTGACTGATCGATTAATGCAACAAAAAAATAAGTTTTCCTTACCCATCTTTGTTTTAAGATGTTCAATATCTCTTTGTAAAGATTCTGTCTCATCTTCTATAATTCTTCTCCTAAAAAAATATCATGAAAGTTGTGTTATTCATATCTTGTTGCCACCAAAATGGACAATGTCATTTAAAAAAACTGGTAAATTTTTTTAATAGTACAGAAGTACTCTACAAATCGTTTTAAGTGATTTACAGGTTGAAGTTTGTTAACACTAACGCTTCATTGATGACAGATGGATCACTGCGATGGGAGTTTTCACTAGTACTCTGTCTTAACTTGGATTGGCTTTGGACAAATTCCAGCTGGCTGTATACATCACGCTTAAACTACCAAAGAAAAACAACAATAATAATTATCATTTAAAACACATGATTAGATGAGTTCAGACCCCATTATTATTCTAAACCATTTTGCCACTATGATCTAGCTGTGAGAAAAGATTCTTCAGGTCAGGTTCAAATTAAATTTCTATTGATAAAAAATTAACAGTGTCAAAAATCAAAACTTCAAGAGAGCTACAACACAGAAAAAGGTTGCCTCTCCGAGGTGCTGTTCAACATACTGAAGTGCATTGTATTATTTTGCTTGTGGAACTGGAGAGAATTTGACAGTGCATCAAGAATTACTTATTTCACACTCGTTCAGCTGAAAAGTTATTATATTGCCCAGAGCTACTTAACATAATGCTGTACATGTAAGTAAAGGACTGAATTAAAGCATAATGAAAGAGATTTAGCAATATTTCTTTTATACTCACTTGCTCTAACTTTCGTTCTGTTTCGATGTCTACTCCCTTTTCTCTTAGCCTTTCATTCAGTCTGTTTATTTCATCTGAGTAAGAAAATTTATTACCAGTACATCAAACAGATATTGGTTTCCCTGCATCACTGAAAAATATGTCTATGTTCCCGAGGAGAAAAGGACAATAAACCTTATGAGAATAAACCAATTAAGAAAGTGAGTAGAAAGTATTTCTCAGATAAGACACATGTTACAGGTCAAAATTGATTTCAGGTTAAAACTGTTGGTGATTTTTCCCCTGACCACTTGCTGAGGATTTTGCCGACAGGCTCATATTCTGAGCGCCCCATTTGGTCACAAGACTTTCCTTCCTTTTTGGAGAGGCAAAAACAATGTTTTGCAGTTTAAAAAAGATCACAAATGCTTGCAGAAGAACTTTTCAGCATGGCAAATCAAGGAAGTCACTATTTAATAATGATAATTTGAGCTGAAGAGAGATACAGGTGTATTTCAACAGAGTCCTATCGAGGCAGCTTTAGAGCATTTTAACTGTTGTTATTGCCTTTCTAAGAAGGGAAGGAAAGTTACACACCAAACAGGGCACTTGGAATGGTCACATGAGCTAAGTAAAAATTTAAATGTGAATGATCTTTTTTCAGGGAGAGGGGGAGTGCTAACAGTTTTGTAACTTTGATAGTAAATGCAGCTGTAATATGTTACAAGAATGTACCTCTCATTCTCTTGATCTCTGCAGCATGAGTTTCTCTCTCTTTCTCAAGTCCCCTGACGGTGTCACTTAAATGACTCACTAGCTAAAATGCAATAGTAGGTTACACATTTAATACAAAAATTTACAAATTTTTAAGCTGGACATAAACCCAAATTGCCAAACATTTTTAGTTTGTAAGACTCTTTATTTTAGCCTTCAACATTTGCATGACAGTTGAGTTTTAAAGTTTGATTGTATTATTAAAGCTGTGGATAGAATAAGCATCAAAAAGTGCACTTGTTTTACAACACTGCAACAAAATGAGTTGAAAAGTGATGCCGCACATCTTACCAACCATGGTCAAACCTGTTAACAACCTTATTTGTTGAAAGACAGATTTGATGTAGGTGGTAAAAAGTGCAACATCCAGGGTGCAAAGAAAGTCAGTTTTACAGGTTGCCATTTGGGCAAGCTGTAGCTGGCATGCACTAGCCCAAAATTCATTTCAACTAGCCCCAAAATTGTTTTGATAAGCAGGATTGATAACACAGTTCTTATGTAATTTGAATTCCTCAAAAATCTTCACTTGCCCATCGGGCAAGTTAAGAACAGAATTCACTAGCCCGATAGCAAAATCCACTAGCCCCGAGCTATCAGACGCTAATTTCTTTGCACGCTGAACATCGGTATTCAACTTGTTTTGCAGCAAATATTGCAACTTAGACAAGTTGAATGTTTTTTATTGCTCGTTTTACAGTACCTTAAGTTTAAACATGTAGAAAAAATTATTTTAATATTGTCTAATCTAAGTGAGGGCCTCCCTGAATATATAATTATTACCATTATTATTATCGTTATCATTATTTTTTTATTATTAGAGATTCATGTTTACAGCATACGGCAAACGTCAGTTGAGAATTTCTCAGAATAAAAAATAACCAGATAAAAACAGTCCAGAACGATTCTTAAGGATAAAACTGGCATAAAACTACTTATTTTTGTGTAGAAGCAATAAACAGTAAACGGAAAATAAGGGGAAAACTTAGTCATGTGGTACAAATTCACATTTTGTCGTTTGGCGCAAACGTGAATCTTAATCTCTCTAATGTAAAAGTTCTCACCTCAGCTTGTTCCTCAACCCTTTCAAACAATGCATTAACAAGAGCAGGTGATGCCTGACTTGAGGGAACACTAGTTGCCATGCCAACAGTTTTCACAGGGCTGAGTTTATCCCAAGCCATAGCTGAAATATGAGGACTTCGGGAAGTCTGAGATCGAAGGTTCCCTGGACTTATGGAGGCTATCAAATAAGAAAGAAAGCAGTTTTGTAAAATTTCCTGTACGAATTATAGTAACCTTCACTTTTCACGTCCAACAGTGACCAGCATCATACTTGTTTTTAGGAGTCATAAGTGGAATCAGAATGCTGTTTTCACTAGATCGTAATGTTCTACACTTCTGATTACGACATCTGTCCAGCTATGAGAAACAGCCTAATGGAATTTCTAACATGGAAACGTAGCCATATATCTCACAAAACATCCTGGAGGCAGGGAAGGATGAGAGACAGCTATATTTAAGGGCTAAGGATACAGTGCTTTGTCTACAACCTGAGGGAGTACTGCCTATGATGGCCTATATGAGGAAGTTCCACACAAAAGGGGTACTTTTTTCAGGGTTTAGGTATATGAAGGGTAGGGATCTCGGAATTCTGTCATTGAGGTCTGTAGCAGAGACGCCAACATCTGGAGATCTAAAATCTGGAGAATCCCTTTTTTCACAACCCCTCCCCCAGAATTTCAATAGACTCCAACCCCACCCCCCCCCCCCGATAAATTGACCCAGCCCCCAATGAGAATGACTTTGGACATTGCATGAAGTCTTACATGAATACATACAGCCAAAATTCGCAATCATCGTTTTGATGCCAGAAATAATCTTTGTCAGTGACTAAATACGTGCAAAAATGCCCCAGAAACCGTATGATGAAGAAGAAAAATTCAAGTTTTGAGCTAAAAAGGCACAGAAAAGGTCAAAAGATGATTTTATCTGAGAGATATGGTGACCTGCACGAGAGAGCCGGAGATCGGTGCCATATCCGGCATGTATGCTGTAGAAAGGCCCAAAAGGGCTAACAGATGCACTTTATGGCTGTGAAAAAGTCAAGAAAATGTTCTGATTTTGTGGTTTATTCATATTTTACAGACAGTGCATTTACAGCAGTTTAAAGGGGTGCATAAGTTCTAAACCAGGTAATATGTGAAGGGGGTACCATTTGTCAATAGAAGTTACTGTATAAGACCTCGAGGTGGAGCGGGTGAAGAGTGAAAAGCTCCAAGTTGCAGAGATTCCAACCCCATGTGATGGAAAATAGGGAGTAATTATTAGCGCCGAAGGCGCAAGCTTCTAGGGGGGTCAGGGGGCATGCCTCCTGGGAAATTTTGCAAATTTAGGTTCTCTCAAGTGCCATTTCCTGAATTTTGACATCATTCCGGCCTGAGTTATAACATACCATAATGCTCTTCGCGAAGAAAGTAAGTATAATATGAGTGTTTCACAGTGACAGATCGCCAAAAATTCTAAAGATTAGCAATTTTTCCCTAGTTTTCAGAATTTTATAATAAATCGGGAGAATTTGGTAAAAATCGGGAGAGCGGGAGGCAAGACATCAAATCGGGAGACTCCCGATCAAATCGGGAGGGTTGGAATCTCTAAAGTTGTAAAGCACCCAACAGGGTTTGTTACTTACTATACGATGATAGGTTTATCAAGTCACCCACTGTGGTTTGTCCTTTTTAAGGTCACGACCTTGGTTTCACGGTTCGGGATCTTAAGAGTTGTAGTTTTTCACAATATTAAGTTTGTGTAAACACACTTACGGTGCAAAAAATAACGCCCTTTTTCAATAAAATACCTGGCATAATTTATCCAACGCAATTCATTGAAAAAAAGCATTCCAACGATGCACTTATTTCTGGCTATGCCCTATAAATCGTTAAAATGACTTACAGGCTTAAGATTAAGGAGTAAGCTTTGATAATTTATAGAATCGAAATGACCTAACTCTCAATTTAACGGTCGATTAACAAACAAGACACTTACCGCCAAAATGGTTTCCTCTTGACCGACCCGATTCTTTTGTTTTGCTTGAAGAACCCAGGCGGTCCTAAAGTAAATACATTAAAATGAAATCCAGAGGTTTAAAAGAAATGTAAAGAATTACGGGTTGACAAATTTATCAGATGTAGATGCTTGCTAGGAGAAAAATAAATCGAGTTTACATAAAGTTTCGTTTCTCACGAAGACGTCGCTTGCGTTATTTTTACTGTGGAGGAATGTGTGACCGCGATCCGCATCGTTTAGCTGTTCTTACCCAAACTCTCGCTAAATTCGTCTCTGTTTCACGTACGATTGAAGAAAATTTGCTTTCCCACTCCATATTACAGCGATCAGAGGAAAATTGCAAATAAATTTGCGAATTCGTGATGTAAAGCAAAGATGCTCATTTGCTCTTTCTTGTGGGTGTCGTCATACACTACGTACCTACCTAAAACAAACTACCCGCTGTCCGTTACCTCGCAGGCGCATAGACGCCATAAATTTTAAGAGAATCCTGCCTACTTGTCAGCTACGCAGGCTTTGTACAAGTTTGTTCTTCATCATTGGAGATGACTTTAAGCTTCTCTCTTAAGGGGAATCTGGCAAGTTTAGAATCGGTTTTGTCTTTGCAGTTTAGTAAATGCGAGTTCCATTCACTTCCCTTATCAGCAATGGAGAAGACTTGTCAACTTCCGTGTTTAGGTGACCGGATTTGATTACCTCGATGATGATATGAAGAATCTAGACTAAATGAAAACTGAAACAGAATGGCTTCCAATATTGAAGACACACTGATGAAACTAGACAGACTTCACAGTGTGGACTACAAAAATGATGAAGTGCAACTGATAAAATCTAAAATAGAGGGAATCGTTCATCAGATTTCAAATAGGATAGTGGAATTGAATCCCATCCTTTCTAACTCTGTTGTCCATTGTGGCAGTTTTTATCACAACAGTAAAATCAATGCACCAGATGAATTTGATTTCCTGTTGGTTTTAAACAAGTTTTCTCAGCCAGGTGTATGCTCTTGTAAGCCATTTGAAGATCCAGAGTACACACACTTGGTTTCTCTAGAGATTGACAACACAAAATTGAATTGGAATCCGCAGAGTGTGTTGGAATGGGAAGAGGATGCTGCCAATAAGCAGGCATTATTACAAGCAACAATTGACAGTGAATACCGTGATGCTATTTGCAGTTGCTTAGCAACAATGTCATTGCCAGATGGCATCTCACTTACCACATCACAGAAATCTGTAAGAAGGAGATTTGAAGGAGGGGAAGAATTTCTGGCCAACTTTAAGTTCTCTGGACCAGCTCTTACACTGTTACTCAACTGGAAAGGAGTATACTACCCTAACCTTAACATATCTGTTGATGTGACCTATGTAATTGCTATGAGGGGCCTACCATCATTTTGCAATCTTGACAAACGATTACCAAGTGAACATCCGATAGTAAAAGCTGGTTTATGTGCTGATGCCAGTCATGAATTGTTGTATTGTCGCATGTTAGATGACACATGGAAGCAAACATGTAGTTTTCTAGAAAATAAGATCATCTGTTTTTGGTTCAAAGAGAATGATGCAAGCAATGTGTGCTATAGGCTGCTGAAAATAATCCGCAATCTTGTCACACCAGTCGACCAGCTTGGAGAGGCATTTTTAAAAACATATGCCTTGAAAACTTTATTTCTTTATGAATGTGAACAATTCCCAGATTCAAAGTTTTGGAGGACAGATGAACTATCAACACACCTTTTAACAATCTTTCAAAAGCTTTTGTGTGCAATTCAAAACAGGTTCCTTCCCAATTATTTTAACAAGAATCAAAATGCTTTGTCCTATCCTTTAGATTCGCGACCTGGAGATGAAAATGAAGAGGGAGAAAACAAATTTATCAGCAGTGTATATGAAGCCATGTGTAAAATAATAGAAGATATAATAAGTTCACTGGAAAAAGGACTAGCTAGTGAACAAACGTTGAAGTTTTATTTTGAGCCAGGGCAGAAAATTGTTATTAAAGATCCTGATATACGGGATGCCTTGGAGAAAGAAAATTAATGAAAAATAATGAAAATGGAAATAACTAATTACAGTAATGGAAAATAGCAAAAAGTAATACAAAGCTATTGTAAAGAAAGATTAATTATGCACTGAATCCTCCCCTACCTTTTGACTCCTAAACAATGTTATTCCACAGGCAGCCCAAACTCTCATTGAGAGGAAGCTAGTGTGTTTGATATTTTTCATTTACATGTTAAATGAAGCAGAAAATTTTGTTTGAGTGAAGTAATATTGCAAAAATAGTTGAAAGTGATACAGGAGATGAGTGCAGAGCTCTCCCCCCTCCCCCCAACCACTGCAAGGCCGAGTTGCCAAACAAATATACCTTGTTTTAGCCAGAGAGTTGATGTTGTACTTAAACCTGAAGGACTGTAATAGCCACTGTAGTGCATTAGTTTACTGCGTCATTTTGGAACAATGTACTTTTGATTAGTTGTTTTGATTGTTATCTTGATTCAGTCTGGGTGAAAACAGTTTTGCATACTTGAATATTCATGCCATACATTTTTCTTGTTCATGCAAGTTGATTTGTTAAGTTTGTATCTCAACAACATGTATCAAAACTACTTTGCATTGAAACAACCAGTTTCCTTGGGTCAATGGTTAATTACTTGCATTACCTTCAGCCATGAGGAATGTGGCACATTATAATGATTTGTCACTGAGGAATAATGTATAAGTAGTTTGTAAATTAAAGTTAAAGAAGAGAAATTTCAACTTCATGTTTTTTATTTTTTGTTTTGTGTAATCTTATCATGGTTTCTTACAATTCTGCATGGCTTATCCATTTTCCAATTATGAACTAATTTAGTCAGTTTATATGAGATCATCGTAGTGTATTACAGTCATCTCTCTCCAAGACAGACACCTTCGGGACCTGGAACAGCCCTGCTGTCCGTCTTAGAGAGGTGTCTGTCTTATAGAGAGTCGAGGAATCTTGACACCTTTATTTTTTAAGCTGATTTGAACCTATTTGCAATGTATACATGTCTGTTTATCTTGTACAAAACCACACAAATTGGAAAAGAAATGTAACAGAAAAGTGGAATTATTTCCTCATCGTGCAATCAAACGTTTATTTCAAACAAACGTTCACGACTTCAAGGTCTAAAAGCGTAACAGTATAGACTCTATAAACTGAAGCACAACTATAACACATCAAATATTTGCAATTTACTGTCATGTAGAGCACCTACATTTCAATTTTGAGGTATTTTTGTCCGTTGACAGTTTCAAAAGTGTCCGTTGTCCCTCTTATAGATAGCCTCCCCGCAGACGTCCTTTGGGGTTCGTTTGTCACACATTCATTTCTCGTGACAAACGAACCCTAAAGGACGTCTGCGGGGAGGCTATCTTATAGAGGGATCCATCTTGTAGACAGTATAATTTATTGCAGTAGAATGACTGAAAAAAGGCAGGGACCAACACCAGGTGTCTGTCTGTGAGAGTTGTCCATCTTAGAGGTTTCCATCTGGGGGGGGGTACTCCACATATGAAAGTGGTGGGGATGCTGTCGTCTCACTTAGGGGTGTAAATTTTGGATTTTGGTCTCCGTTAGGGTGTTTTGGGTAAAACGCCATCATATTTAGCCGTGAAGGTCTAGTTTAGGGCTGCACGCCAAAAAATATAAAAATACATATATTGTCTGTGTTTTAACATGGTCTCTTAGGGGTCAAAAAGAGCTTGGGCCACGCCCAGATCGGTCTCCTTTAGGGGTTTACCGTATTTATTCGAATAAGCGCCCAACCTCGAATTAGCGCCCACCTCAAATAAGCGCCCATCCTAAAGGCAGAAAAAGTTAATAAGCGCCCAGCCTCGAATAAGTGCCCACCCCACCCCACCTCCCTCCCACTCCCACTCAAACTCAAATAAGCGACCAACCCCACCCCACCCCCCAAAAAATGAATAAGTACTAATAAGAGACTTCCCCGAAGACGGAGTTTTCTTCAAAGTATTTTACAGCAACCTTGCCTTGTTACATCTTCGAGTTCTGTCATTACCATTTATTGTTTTGTTGCAAAATAAACATACTTCACTTGCTGAAAATACTGAAAATTTAATAAGCGCCCACCTCGAATAAGCGCCCACTCTCAAGGTCCAAAAATTTAATAAGCGCCCAGGGCGGTTAATCGAATAAATACGGTAATTCACAATTTCCGACGAGCATCCCCACCCCTTTCATATGCTGAGTCCCCCCCCGCGGGGTGTCCACTAAGCTAGAGTTGACTGTATTCATATTTGATATAAGAGTAACAAAGCTAGTGGCTTCAGCGGAGGAGGGGCCTTCTTCTTTTTCTTAACTGAAACTGTGTTAAACGAATTTTCGGCTGAATTTGTCTTCTTAAGCTCAATTTTTTGGACACAGATGAACAGATGGTCTCAGAGTTCTGTCACCAGCGAATAAAATAATGGTATCTATGTAACATGCTAGTACCCCTCTTTCTAAAATTTGTGGATCCGCCCTAGCACCCCTCTTGAAAAGGGCTGTAGCAGTTCACGCCCAGGGCCTCAGTTTGTTTCTTTTTTCTCTGTCTTGTCGTGCTTCATGTGCAGATAGAGGGCCATAAATCTTTACTTGCACCGTAAATACTATGTAAAAGCACTTTGTAAACATGGCTTTTAATTTTTGAAGATTGGAAGTCTGGTACAACCGAATTTACAGCTAGAGGGGTCGAAGAAATTGCAAGCCACGTCAGCTGAACACGGCAGGCGACTTCGAGAGCTTGAAAAGGGCGGGAAATTCTATCCAATCAATGCGACCAGTCAGACAGAACGAGCCAATCACAAGACTCTGCCCTAGGGCTGGCCGTGTTTCTACAATCATCCAACATGGCTTCCCCTTTCGCTAATGTCGACGAGTTTTATGCGCCTAATGTGTTGGATCTCTTAGCAATGTTCTTTATTTTACTATGGATAGTGTTGGCATTATTTCAGTTAATATCTATAGCTACTGGGTAAGTAGTTTGGCGTTAAGTAGTCGTAAAATGTTTGTTGTTCGCTTTTCATTAATTTCATGGCTTTGCGTTTCTTTCTAAGCAACTGATATGCAAACGTGTACTCTGAAATAACAATCTCCTCTATTGTCATTGTTTTCTTTGTTTAGAAAAATTTACCTCCACAAGTCGGTCGCCGTTGCTAACAATAAAGATTTACCGGGAGTTTCAATTTTGAAGGTTAGAGCTTGTTTAAAAATGCATGTTTACGATCGGGCTGCCTAATTTAATCCTAAATTGTGACAATGCTTCCCCTACAGGGCTTGTTTAATTTGGTATTGTCATTTTGTAATTTTGCAAGTTGGTGCTTGAGAACTATTCATCTCATTCAGCTTTCTTTCTTTCTTTCTTAATTTTCAGCCGCTAGTTGGGGAAGAACCGAATCTTATAAAAAATCTCCAAACATTTTTTGAACTAAATTACCCTAAGGTAAGAACGTTTTCTCTATATATCGTTATCATTCGCTTATAATTTTTCCCATCCTTGTTAAGCAGCGAAATGACATAAGGTCACACCTTCCTTTTCCTTTTTTTTTCCTGTTCTCCTATATTTTTACGGAATCTCATTTTTATGCAGTAGAATCGAAATTGTGGTAAACATTTTAGCGTATGCTACGTCAAGCGTGAATTACGCTAAATTCTTTATACAATTTTGAAGTAAGCAATTTGCAGTTAAGCTTGAGTTTAAATCCCGATGGACGAATGAATTGTTTTTTTTTCAGTTTGAAATTCTTTTCTGCGTACAAGATGAACTAGACCCAGCTGTGAAAATTGTCCGTCAGCTGATGGAGGCGTACCCTTTAGTGAATTCAAGGCTGTTCACAGGTGGGTCGTTAGTAATAATTTTATTGCAGAAGACATAACACCTATTGGAGCTAGTAGAATCGGCCACAACCACAAAGTTAACAGAGTTTTAAAACACTCAATTCTTAAAGTATGCATGTGTATATTTTTAAAACTCCCTCGGGTAAATCGGAATTTCATTCATTCTTAAACAAATACTTCAATATGCTGACTAAAAACAAGACGGATATTTAAATGATAGTAGTAAATTATATGCTAGCATATGGAAGCAATTTCTAGCAATATTATTTTATATGTAAAAGCATTAATTTATCTATTTTAAATCCATGGAAATTACAGCTTTTGTTGCAGAGATAGTTATTTTGTTCATCTTTGTGACAGTTTATGTAATATTCACAAGCAATAATTTACTGGGTGCCAATTCTCCAACTTCTTTTTATCGTAAATGTGAACAATCTAGCTGTTGGTTTTATTTTTCACAACAGTTATGTCTGCCGTTGGATTACTTTGTAGATACCTTAGTAACTGCTGATGGTATTAATAAAACCACACAGTGAGAAAAATATGAAAATAACATTGAATTTTAATTCTAATAACATTTTATTTTTATTTTGATATAAGTAGAGCTTACAAGGAAGGAAATGTATTTTATTTTTATAAATAAGTGGATCAGTTTGTGTGTAGGGATTATCTTTCATGTTGTAACAGATGGTAGATTGATACAAATTATGCAAATTTTACTCAGTTCTCAAAAATTACCATTTGAATCATTGCTTACCATGCTTTGTTTGTGTGGTTTACTGTTCCATTTGTAGAAAACTGTCTTTGTGAGTGATGAAAATAGAAACTTTCACATGTTACTACCATGTTCTTTGTGTTTGTTCTTCAGCCTGAACTTACTTGGGGCATTTGTTATTCTTGAAAGCAGTACATAGTTACACTCTTTTTCAAATAATACCATATATCAGTTTTATATATTTTAAATGTCCTTAAGTTTTCTTTTAATGAAATTAGCACAGACTATGCAAAGCTAATACATCTTGTGTTTCAGTTTTATCTTTGGCTTGAATTTAATTTTCCTTTGTTCTTTGGTATGGTTACATAATTATGAAAATGAATTTGACAAAGAAAAAAGAAAACAAAATTTGAACCAAGGACAAGGAATTGAACCATAACACATCCATGTCTAATGTAGAGTTAACATATTATGGACATGTATTCTGGGTGGTAATCAGTTGACAAATTAGAGGATAGAAAGTAATGGCAATGAAGTTTGAAACAGCATGAATTTACTTTTTAAGTGACATTTTCCCTGCTTTCACCCTTGTTGTTGTGTAAGCTCCCTAATGAAGCTAATGAATATGTGGCATGCATCCAACTTATGGTTATGAAATCTTCTCTTGAAATGAAACACTTTTTTTTTTTTGCATACAATCATGCAAGGGGACATGTATATTATTTTAAACACACTTTTTCTTTTTTCTTTCTTTTTTTTTTTGAAACATGAAATTTGAACATCTAACCAGAGGTGGTCTAATTTTAAAATTGCCTTATATATATTCTATATTTATAACTTGTTTATGTTTAGTATACTTTTTGGCATTGAAAACCAATCAGGGTTCTTGATTTTAAGTAGGCAGCTTTATTTTTGGGCCAGATAACTGATTTTGCCATCTTTCACTAAATAATGAGAGGAAGAGCTCTGTAGCGAAACCAGCCCAAACCGTGAAGTACTTCGTAGTGATTTTCGTCAGCTGCCAGCTACTTTTGACAACTGTGTTTATCAATGCAACAACATTCTTATAGTTTAAGTAGGGCAACTAGTAGATCTGGACATTTTTCAACTTCTTTATTGATAAGGAGACAATGGTTTTTCAATAAGCAATGACAGCAAACAAAAAGTGTTGGCTATTTTGCTCAGAGAAGGTAGCTGCTTTTTTCCTTTCATAAGGTGACTAATAAAAGACACTTTCAATTTTTTTTTGGATACTGTCGGTTAGTCTACTGAAACGATCTGCCTGCTTTAAAATTTTATTGAAACCCTTGATATAATTACAGTAAGTAGTGTAAAAAGTAATTAAAAGATTGTGTGCATAGGGACCGTAATGTGTTGCTTGATTTACAATCAAATATAAGGCAGCTTGACAGGAGTGTCAGATTAGTCACGTAAAACCTTTTTCCCATCTGTGATGTAGCTGAGCTCAGCTGGCTGCTGGGGAATTTCACCAGCTCTAAATGAGCTACATTTGGCTTAGCCTGATTCTCAGACGTCCGAGGTCGTTTGCTGCCCCTTTGGGACAGAGCTGACCTCTGACGTCTGAGAATCAGGCTACTTTTGGCTCACATTGCCAGAAAACTAAGAGACATGGGGTAATTTTGAAGGTGCAGTTTAGTCAAAATCCAGCAGAGCTAATAAATAAGCCTGCCTAGCTGTTCCTTAGGGACATACTATTGTGCCTTTTTTCCACTAAAAAGGGCAAATTAATGCTCAATGGATAGCAATGACTTATTAAAAGAGGGACACAATTTTGGTGATTTCTTCCACACTGAAAGTTGTTCCTTGTAATGTGCGGGGATTTATTATTTGAGTAGGAAAGTTAAAATAAATATGGTATTACCAGTGATATTATTAATAGATAAGTTATTAAAACATCAGGATACATCGGCGTGCAAAGAAAGTAGTGTCCGATAGCCCAGGGCCAGTGGATTTTGCTATCAGGCTAGTGAATTCTGCTCTTAGCTTGCCCGATGGGCAAGTGAAGTATTTTGAGGAATTCAACTTACAGAAGAACTGTGAAATCAATTCTGCTCATCAAAAAATTTTGGGGGCTAGTTGAAATGACGATTGGGCTAGTAAATGGTGGCTTCAGCTTGCCTGAATGGCAAGCTGTAAAAATGACTTTCTTTGCACCCTGATACATCTACATTTATAGAATTTTCCCTGGAGTGTTTCCTATCTAACTGAATAAGTTCTAAGAAACTGGTTGAGAGCCAAAAGTAAAACTGATACACAGTACCAAATATATGCTTGCTCTTAAATTTTAACGCTATAATCAATTGTTTTTTTTTTCCTTTGACAGCTGCTAAGACAATTGGAGTAAATCCAAAGATAAATAACATGAACCAAGGTTACAAAGCAGCAAAATATAACCTTCTGTGGATTTGTGACAGTAATATTAGAGGTAATATTATTATGTGAACTAGATTACAATCAAACCTCCTATGTGCAACCCCTCCGAGTGTCAAGACTCAGCAGTTATTTACATTACGTAATCAGGAGGTGCTCAATAACAAGAGTTTGGCCATAAGGGAGAACAGGACTATTTTATCAAAAATAATATTTATTATTGCAAGTTCCTCTTGTCACCTGCAATCCTAATCTCCAGGTTGTTATTATGCATGCGTCACATGTATGTATTCAGCATTCGTTTGGACTTCCACTAAGAATGAATGGAAGGCAAAAAACGCAATTTGATTGCGTGTGTTTCGACCTTCTACCCCTCGTAATCTGATCACGTGGGTTTTGACCATCTGTCACACAGGGTTTGAGCCAGGCTGCACCATTGCGCCAATCCCGCACTGCAATTGAAATTGTCCCTTAAAAAACGGCCAAGGGGACAATTTGTCCCCTTCAAAATTTAGGGAAAAAACTCAAAAGCTTGAAAACTTGTTTGCGAGATCACACATGGTTGTGCTATGGAAAGGAGGCGTACGTCTACCAGTAATTAAGAAAGGAATTGAAGTTTACAAGGGGATGCCGGGACGAGATTTTGCTGTGAAATGTGTTGAAGTATAAAGCATAGTCATTGATCCTCTGTTTAAATATGACGGGGAAAAAAGTCTCGACACCAATAACTTAACTTTTCTTGTTTGTATCACTTTTCTTGTATTACAAGGGTCAGGAAAAAAAAATGTTTTTGTTGGCTTGCCAGTATGATTGTAAAAAAAAATGTTGAATAAAAATTAATTTGTCTGTCCCCCTGAAAATAAAAATGTCCCCCAAAATTTTAGCCAAGGGGACAAATTATCCCCCAGTGATCAAATTCTAGCTCAAACCCTGGTCACATGAAACTTACACAGAGCACAGTGTTGGAGCAAAAGTGTTTGGACCTTCGATCATTGTCGCCTGCACTCCTTAACCTTTGGTTATTACGGGTATTGGTTTCATAGAGACATTATTGTGAGCAATTTCTTAGTTACACTACAAGCAGTGCATGCCATCAATAAAACTGCCTTGTATACCGTATTTATTCGATTAACCGCCCTGGGCGCTTATTAAATTTTTGGACCTTGATAGTGGGCGCTTATTCGAGGTGGGCGCTTATTCGAGGCTGGGCGCTTATTAAATTTTCGCCATTCTCAGCAAGTGTAGTATGTTTATTTTGCTACAAAATAATAAATGGTAATAACCAAAAGCGAAGAAGTAACAAAGCAAGGTTTCAGCCCAATCTGTAAAATACTCTGGAGAAAACTCCGTCTTCAGGAGGGTCTCTTATTATGTCTTATTTGAGTTTGTGTGGGAGGAAGTGGGGTGGGGTGGGCGCTTATTCAAGGCTGGGCGCGTATTAACTTTTTCTGCTTTTGGGATGGGCGCTTATTCGAGGTGGGCGCTAATTCGAGGTTGGGCGCTTATTCAAATAAATACGGTACATTTAGTTGTCTAGTACATACAACAGCCTTCTGATATCAAGAAAAAATCTTGTAATAAAAAAAAAGAAAAAGGCATTTAGGTATCAGGGCTTGAGCATTGTTACATTGTTTGACTTGTGCTGGTAGAGCAACTTAGCATGCATCAATTGGTCCCTTGGGAGGCAAAAAGAAACAACAACATCATCAACCCAAAAAAATGTCGCAGTCAGCAACAAGTCAAGGTTGCTTGAGGGAGGTTCCAACTATAGTACTTTAAAGTAAACATTTTGACATTTTAGTGTGGTTGCTCGAGGTCATTACCATTATCATGGTCAGATTGATGACTATTAGTTTCACAATGATGTCAAGGCTGCCGCTTAAGAAAATTTTTTGGCAGCCCCAAATAAAAAGTCCAGAGCCTGAGTCATATTTTTAGTAGCCAATTGATCGATAAACTTAAATAAGTAAGCAGATGCTCAAAACTTGATTCAGGCATCTCAAAACATGATTCGTTCAAGTTTCGAATTTCTAGCAAATTGCTTGTTTGTTTACTTTTATCAGTGGAAATTTTTTGCTGACGGTCGACAAACACACATTTTACATTTTCGTTTCAAAAGCGCAAAATGCACAGTGAATTCTGTCATTCCTTCATTGAAAGTAGGCATAGAGGCTACTGCCTTAAGAACTATAAGTTTTAGGTGCCCTTGCGGGTTCCTTGTTTAAAATTTTAGTCGCCTGTGAGCAAATTGTAGAGCCTCTTGCAACTGGGAGCCCATTAGGCTGCAGCCTTGGATATTTTGCCATTTGTTAATGTCAAAAAAACATGGTACGCATGATATGGATTTTTTGTTCGCCTTTTTGAATTTCCACTCTCTCTTAATGCCATGATTTTCGGAATGATATTATTCAGTGCATTTCCATTCTGTACTCCACTTCGGTTCCATTAACAATGTGATAATTACTGTTTAGTCCACCAGGGCACTCTGACAGAGTTAGTATCACATATGGGACCAGGTGTTGGAATGGTGCATCAGGTACTAAAATTAATATGAAATATTATTGTATAGTGACTGCATTACTCCTGACAGCCATTCCAGTGTAAACCGAGGCCAAACCAATCATCTCAACTACTTTAGTTACAGTGTATGATCACAGGTTAAGAAAAAATAATCATCAAAACTCACTGTGTAAGTAATTATTTCTTGTCTTTTGTTTTTGTCCTTTGATCAGATCCCTTTTGTCACTAACTGCATGGATTTTGCTGGTTGTGTAGATAAGGTGAGATAGAAAGAAATATTCATGAACTCAGATTGTGGAACTCTTTTAATGTATATGCTTCAGATCAAATTTGAGTTCAGGTTAATTTTGATTTAACCTAGATTGATTAGAAATTAAGAGTCAAACTAGGTTAAAAGATCAGGGTTTGCATGCACCTCAGGGTTCAGAGTTCACACTCACCTTGAGAGTCCTTAAAAGTCCTTGAATTTGAAATACAAGTTCAAGGCCCTTGAAAGTCCATGAAAATTGTAGTCGGTGCTGGAAAGTCCTTGAATTTCAATGCTAACTTTATAATAATTATAAAGTTAGCATTGAAACTCCTTTGGAGTTCTATTTAAATTATTTAAATAGAACTCCAGAGGAAAAGGAGCTAACACAGAAATACTTTCGGGATTAAATTACTCATGTTGTGGAAGAACTAAAAAAGACATAGACCCAAGGCGCTTTTTGCACTGAATGGTCAGTGGAGTCCCTGAAAAAGGGGAAATGTGTGAAAAGTCCTTGAATTTTTTGCTCAAAAAAGGGTACAAACCCTGAAAAATTTTAACCTGAAATCAGATTAATTTTGACCTCAGGGCTGTCACTAAGGTTTAACATTGCTGGGTATATCCAATTAGTAGGCGGGGAATTGAACAGCCAGGAAGTCCCTCTGGTTTCATTTTCCTTTTGTTCCCTGTGAAAGTAGCCCAGGATTATGCTCATAGTTGCCAGGAGAAATGCCTGGCCCTGGCCCTAAGTGACAGTGAGGCTGTGACCTGTAATATATGATGTAGTTATTATTATTATTTTTTTATCTCAAGTAATTTTTATTATTTCTACTTTTGTTTCAACTTCCTTAGCATACATTACCATGCCCAATAACAAAAGAACAAACAAAAATTACCCAAGATAAAAAAAATAACTACTACATATACAATCATCTGATTCTCAGCTAACTCTGGCCATAAATTAAAATGCAGTGGCTATGAGTGACATAGAACAAGATAGTTGTGAACAAATGTCATGCAGGTTTATCAAGACTGCTATGATAATAATCCCAATGAACAACTCTCAACAGGTATATTTTGGAACCCAGCATGCATTTGTCTACCTACTTGCTTACAGCCTGGGAACCCTGTGTGCTAATGGAATGTCAAGCCTGTACAGTAAACCACTTCTAGATGAATTAGGTACATGGTTTGATAACTTATTAACCCTTTAAGCTCCAGTATCCACATACAAATTCTCCAAACTGATCTCTATACATTTTCTTAAACAATAAGTAGAGAAAATTTGATAATAGATCAAGGCATTTTCTCTTGTGTGATTATTTTATTAATTCTCATAACTTATCTCTTAACAGTGTATGGATATTGTTTGGAGAAATTTGATCTTGGTAACTATTGGGACTTAAGGGTTAAGAACAGAAACTAGAGCTTAATGTGTGCTACTAGTATCAATAATTATGTAAGGGTCAGAAGTTGATGTGACTCTTTACCTGTAATAAATGCATGCACTTGCTGTACAAAAAGACGAAAATTAAAAAAAAAAAAAAAAAGATACTGCATGAGGTGTAGCCAAGTGGAGTATGAAGATTTTCAAGTTCATCTGACTACAGCCAATAGGGAGCTCAAGCAATGACGACAACGACAGCAGGAAGAACGGCAATAAACTAACAGGTTTAGATTGGCAAAATAACATTTTTGCACATGCATCACACTTTTTTGTACATTTCTTTGCGTGAACCTTGTTGATGTACTTATCTTTGGTTGCACATTCATAACAAAAGACTACTAGTAAATTGGTTAACATCATTGATTTTTTTCTCTGCGTATTTTGCATACAGGTGGCCTGGAGGTATTTTCTTGCTACATTGCAGAAGATTATTTCATATCTAAAGCTATATTCAATAGGTTAGTTCACTATGCTGTTTGTCCAAACTAGTTGCCAATAAATAATAGCCTAAAAGACGTCTAAAGAATTGCGATAATCTAGAGGCTATTTCTATTTACAGGGTACATTCATAAATATAGAAGAGATTAACAACAATTTTACAAGACTTAAACTTGATGCAAAAACATATTAATTTTTTACCAACCCAACATCACAACAACAGAACATAAGCAGTGATTTTGTTACAAATAGTTACGGTGAATCCTGAGACTCATCTTGTGAAAATCATGAGTCCCAGTCCAGAACCAATGAGTCCACGTTAAAAAAAACGAACCCGAAATTGAAAATACTTGGGCCTTTATGTAAACAGACAGTTACACTGTAGTCTGGAGACAGACTCCAAAACTCTGTATTACAGTAGACTGAAATTAAAATTTAGTCCTTCTATTTTAATGCACAACAAAGGCTAAAAGAAATATGCAGCGTTAAACAACAGCCGTAATAAATGCCATAGAAATTACGCAAATAGGCCGGATATGTCTTAGTCTGCTACACAGCCGTTTTTAGAGTCGTCACGCAGCGCTCCTCCCCACTGTGGGGAGGAGCGTTGCGTGACGACACTAAAAACGGCTGTGTAGCATACTAGATATGTCTACAAATACACAAATTCAGATCAATCGATTGATCTTTTGTGTCCTATGGGAGGCATGCCATGAATTATTTTGCGCCTTTAGGGATTTTTATGCGTCAGGGTTGCAGGACGCAGAGCTAACAAAATCACTGCACAAGCAGCGACAGCTTTGGTTGCCATGGCAAGTGTATCTTCAAAGAGAAGAGCTGTAGGGCATCTTAATTTAAAAATTTTTTAAGTCGTTTATTTTACCAAAGCGTTTTTTTCCAGGTATCTTAATTTGTATTGTTTAAAATAGTGAAAATTAAGTCCCACAAAGATGAGTGACAATAACGTATTTGATCGTCACATTAATTCTTACAGGGGAATGAAAGTAATCCTTAGCTGTGATCCAGCCATGCAGAATCCAAGTCATTACTCTCTTCTAAGATACCAACAAAGAATGGTCAGGTAGGTTTATATATAGACTAGTTGTCGTTTATAGTTCCTGTATGGTGTTTTGCCAGGCCTTTTCGGTCAAAAAGCTACTTTCGATATATTAAAATTCAGCATGATAGCGAGTCTTAGAGGACACAAACAAAGAAAATGAATAAACGCGAATAATCATGGTTTATTCATTTTCTTTGTTTGTGTCCTCTAAGACTCGCTATCATGCTGAATTTTAATATATCGAAAGTTGCCTATTCACTTCGGTGACATATCCAAGGCAAACGGGCAGAAAACGCCTGGACAAAAACAGAATGCGCATGTGTGAGTTGCTTTTTGAAAATGTCAGCGTTTCTGGAGCTCTTCAAGATTTTGTGTTTTCATTACAAGAAGAGAAATTTCCTTTCCCCAAGTAACGGTGTAATATTTTACTTATCATATAAATGAAAGTTCCCCTGGTATTTCATTCGTGTCCATATAGTAAATTCTGTATAACGGCTTCTATTGCAGATGGACCAGGTTACGTCTTACCATGGAACCCTTTCCGGCCATATTTGAACCTCTAACTGAGAGTGTTGTAATCGGTTTGCTCGCCAGCTGGGCTATGTCCTATTTATGGGAGTTCAGTGCTGCTCTTATGTTCATTAAACACGTCTTAGTGTGGTTTATCTTGGATTTTATCTTACTCAGATGTGTTCAGGGGGTGAGTGAGTTTTCTTTGTTAGTCGTCAGTGCTCGAAATTAACTTTTGGGTCTAGTCTTCCGCAGGATCAGTAGGATTAAAATTTTCTGGTCCATCAGCAAAACTTCTGATCACTCTTATCATTTTCAATTTTTTTCGTTCCGATCCACTCAGTTCGACATACTTTGGCTCACGTTTTAATTCACCAAAGGAAAATAGATACAGACCTTCAAACGAAATTACAAAAGCCCCCATCTTGTATCCCACAGTGGATTTCAATTGTGTCAAGTAGAACCCAGACTTTCAATCGGAAAGAGAATGCCCAGCACTCTTTTACCTGTTCGTTTTTGAAACGTTTGCCTTTGGCAATTCTTCGTTTGTTTCAATGCTTTTACCACTTTTTGGTATTACACAAAAAAAAAATCATGTATTTCTCAGAGAGTGATACCTTTACTCGTCCAGAGGACTGGTGGGAAAGAAAACTTTTCGTTGTCAGGTTTTTTTACTTGTTTTGGACGAGTGGACGACCGTAAAGTTCGAGCACTGACTGTCATAATGAAGAGTTGGAAGAGAGCTTATAAGGACGCACCTCAACCGGAAGTTTTGCTTTTTCCGTTTTAATATGCCTTGACTCTACCAATTTGTTTTGCGAACGGTTTTAACTGTGATGGAGACAATTATTTTGCCGGTATATTTGGGCAAAACATACCCGCCCAAGATTGCGAAAAGGCCACTTCCGGTTGACCTGCACGATGAAGATGTTATGATATTGCTAAGCATGATAAATTTTCGGGCGACTTGACTAAAAATTTTGGACGAGATGACTTTTGGGCAACTTGACCGCATACCTATTCAGGGCTCGAAAAAACTTGAATTCCAGCTTGTCTTTTGGGCAAGTAACTCTCACACTTCACTTTCCCGGGGCCACTTGTTGCTCGTCTTAGTTTATGTTTTTGTTAGAGGATGACTTTCCTGGAGCAAGTGAGCTTTAAAGGTTACTTGCCAAGCAAAGAGAAAATCTACTTGTCCCCGACTACTGGACGGGAATTTTTTCGAGTCCTGCTCGCTACGTTCGAGTTCGCTACCTACATATTCGTGTCGCTTCCTATTGGCAAAGTCCAAAACTTGCACCCTCGGAGGGGCAAGCTTAAAAGAACGAGAAATATAATAAAAGATTTTTTTTCTAGAGTGATTAAGGGAAAATTTTCAGTTGTTCACAGAAAGTAATATGTAGCGAATTTGTTGCGAACTAGGACGTAGCGAATTCGACAAGTAGCGAAATGGGTTGTTGCCAGTCCTGCTTATTGGATACCCTCCATGTCAGCTGGCGTTTTAAAAGAAGAATGACTGCCTATTGGTTTTCCCTTTTTAGCCCAACAACCCTTTGCCACCTGTGTGGAAGCTCTTTTTAGCGTGGCTTTTCCGAGAGTTCTCCTGGATAGTGTTCTTTCTCCAGGCAGCGTGTGGCCGTGAAATTGAGTGGCGAACGTCTCATTTTGTCCTTAAGCTTGGTGGTAAAGCTGAGAGGCTGCAAGAGAAGTCCCAGGATCTGAATAATCACTGCTGCTGATGTCATCTCAGCACCATAGGCAGTAATTCAGTCTCGCCGGGATACCTGGGAGATAAGAGGGTGATGTGTACTGCACAACGGAAGCTGAAGGGGTGTTTTTCGTTCCGCCATAGTGGGGAGATGGGTGCAAATCGACCACAAGGCAATATAAAGGCACACAAGCTAACTAATGAAAAAGGGCTTTTGTTCAAGATAAGTTGAGATTTTGAGACAGGGAGATTTCCAGCTGTTTCCTTTACTTTACAGCTAGCTTATTCAATAGTTAACTAATTTTGTTCGCTTTTGTGACATGTGATGGAGAGCGTGTTACGTATTAGACTGTGATTTTCCTCTGGGATAGTAGAGCAAGCAAAAGAAGTTAATAAGCGCGTATGAAAATAACGAGATAGAACGCCACGTGGAAAGAGGAGAGAAACAAGCGACTACAGGCCAAGCCAGGGCGTTTGACTCTAGTCTTTCTTCCTTTCGCGTGTCGCCTTTTCACGCTGGTGGCCATATTCACGCGCGCTCGTGTGTGTCGCCCAAATTGCACTGTCGGACTGTTTCAGACTGATTTTGACCGAGTTCGCAGCGCAACCTCGTGTATATGCCATCCAATAAAAAAAGCACTAGCGTCCAAGAACAGTCCCGAAGTGCAGTTGGACATTACACCGACTCAGTGACTCAGTCTTACGTTGCGGAAGCTAAGCAAGCTCCCTTGGGTAGCTAGTGTGAACGTCTTTTTTTTTACCTCGGATTATAGGAGTGACAGGAAAGAAGGGAATTAAATGCGATTACTCTTGCTTTGAATTGCAAAAATGACAAAAAGTATTACCGTTATTTTTCAAAAAAAAAATTACTGAAAATTGATAATATTAAAGGAGGGTAGTGCTCAGCAGCCTTCAGATGTATGGTTATACTTATACTAAGAGATTTCAACTGAAAATTGTACCGGACCCTTCGTCCACACGCGACGGTTTATTATTTTCGCTCTGTTCACACGGACATTTGAATGGCGAGGCGTTTAAATTTCCGTACGGTTAAGGTGATTCCGTGTGGACGGAAGACCTTAACGCACGAGATTTCAACTTGTCGAGAATTCGTTCGGTGGAGTGTCAAAGCAACCAATTGCCTTGTGTAGAATAATAAACAGTACCACAGGAAAGTACTGCTCAATAGCCCATTTGAATGCTCGTACCTTAAGATTTATTTAAGATTTAACATGTATTTTAAATGCAGAGGAATGATGTGATATTTTGTACACATTTATTCAAACGTGAAGTTTTACGCGGATTTTTGCAATTGTATTCATATCTTTTTGCGATTTCTGATATACAATTTGCTCGTTATTTTTTTCGAAGCTGGTTAAAGCTCTGCTTAGGTATCGTACATGTGTTATATTAGGGGTACTTACCATTTTCGTGGGAAAACCGGAAATTCTGGTTGGAAAGTCAAATGGTTCGCGCCATTCCGTTTGGGAAGCTTCAGAACATATGGGCTGTGATTTTAGACGATGCAATTTTTCCACTCTTTTAAGACTATTCAGCTGATTTGGATAAATTTTGTAGCGGGTCGTTCTGGCACCACCTTAAATTGTAAAGTTTTATGTTTATGCACAAGATTTCTACCCGGGCGGTTTCTGTAAATGGTAAGCACCCTAGGTATTAGCGAGTTTAAGCAGCGACGTTTTTTGACGACGCATGTCAACCGGAAGTGAGCCTTTTTCTCTTTTAATACGCGTTGACGGTACCAAATTTGTATTACTAAAGGACTGTTTGATCAAAACTTTGTTCAAAATCAC